TAACGTCACTGACAGCCGTCTAACGTCCCAGGGGCGACTCCCATAGCAATATGGTAGAGTTGGTACTTAGTGCTCGCCATGGTTCTGGCATGCACTCCCCTCAGCATGGTGGCGTGGGTATACCGTTCCCCATAGCGACCCCTAGAGGACGCAGTTCGAAGTTACCATGAAAGGGAACGTCTCAGGTTACTTATGTAACCATGGTTCCCTGAGTAGGGATTGAGACACTGCGTCCTCTAGGTTTCTTCCCATGCTGCGGACGCAAGCTTCAGATGAAGAAGGGAATGATGTGTGCTCCCGGCGCCTATTTTATAATCGCACCGGTAGTGACGTCATGGCTGTCGCTGGCCAACGAGTTGGTGGTTTTTCAATGTATGCTTCAGACACGCGTCACGACGAGGCGTTCCCCATAGTGACCCCTAGAGGACGCAGTGTCTCGTTCCCTACTCAGGGAACCATGGTTACATAAGAAACCTGAGACGTTTTCTTAGGGTGTCTTAGGGTCACCACATGTCTTAGGGTGTGCACCGTGTCAATGTGAGTCTGTAGTCATGAACTCTTGTTTAATTGGATGAGATCAGGGTCTCAAAGCGGGCCAAAGAGGAACCTGTACCCCTTTCTTTCTCCTCAAGAAACACTTTGGCACCACTGCTGCTTTTGATGTGTGCTTTGGCTCTTTGAGGCCGACTTTGGAATATGTTCTTGGGAGACCAACGGTTACTTGCCTCCAGGCAAAATCTCAATTCCCAGGATCTGGCTCCTCTTTGATGGAATACTTTCGGGAGCAGCTAGCCACCCCCAATCTCTGCTCTGACTTACCCCTCATCTTGTTCCTTCTCTCCTCTGTGGACCCTCACTCTCTCTTCCATCTCTCTCAGAGAGATTCACAAAGAGAACTGACTGTCTGCCTACATGTCTATATCAGTTTCTCCATCCACTTCAGCAGAATGGATGATAGCAAGTCAACAACATAGAAAGGTGTATCATGTGTTATCCATGTCCAGAACTTTCAGACTGATTTCAGCCATCTGCTTTTAAGTATGTGAACTGGTGTGTATATATATATATATATATATAAAAAAAAGTTAAATAAAAAAAATTATTCATAATATGTCAGTTCCAATAAATTACGAATGCACCAAATCCCTTTATGTACTCAAATACATAAATGAACACACATGAATGTAGCTTTTGTAGTTGACATATATAAATGTTAGATGTTATGCGTAATGGATGGTCTTGTTCAGAGGGTTTTGCTTGGCTTGTTTTTTTCTACATTTACCTCTGTTTTGGTAACTATAAATCTGCAGCTGGGTACATTGGTGGTTTTGAGCTATAATTGTTTTCTTTGAATTTGTGCATGGATCTGGTTTATACTACAGAACTTTGCTTGTAATTTTCCCTATTTCTTCTCATATTCACAACTGTTCATACATACATATATACTTTGGATTATTGTCACAGAAGGTGAAAAGCTTAAAAACCCTTACACAGGTACACTAAATCTCAGCATGATATATCTATTACACGCATATATCATAGCAAGCCCTTTTTGTTTTACTTTAACAGTTTTAATTTGCTGTGAATACATATGTGAACAGCATGTTTTGTGGTAAACTAATTTTGATCACCAACATAATGCACAACCATTATCTCATTGTTTTTTTCTTTCTGACAGACACATCAGTAGTGTGTATGGCATAAAATTAACTCTACTTGACTTCACTTGTCGGCCACACGTGCAGTCAGATCCTGCTTAAGAGATTAGAGAGTGATTTTCAACTGTGAAAAAATCAATTACTGCCCCATTGATTGATGATGAGCCCAGAAGGTCTTTTTTAACATCCTAATTTCCCTGTATATTGATTATGTATAATGATTAGGGAGGCACAGTTCTCCTTTCGATGTTTACGTTAAGGTCTCACTTTGAGGAGTATTCCCCACAGACAGAGTGCTCTACTGTATAAGCTTGTTATTTCTCTCATTCCAGGATAGATGGCTCTACTACTGAAATAATGCAATGAGAATTAGATTGGATTTATAGAGGGAGTGATATTTACTTAAACACAGACACATTACATATTACACTCTGATGTAATATTACATGCAATAATAGTTGTCAGAGGTAGTAATGCATTAAAATATTTATAAAATATTGAAATATTGAAAAATAATTCCTGTTTCAAAGATGCGTACATGATGATGTGTTAAAGCAAATAGTCTACTGAAACACTCTGTTTGACAACATATGTCTTTATACCCAACTTTTTAAACATCTCTGTTTTACCCTCTTATTAATAACACACACACACACACACCCATATAAAACTGCCGTCATCGCCACTGAGGAGCAGGACAGAGCAGGGCACAGACGCGCGTCCGCGTCCAGGAACGTCGCGTGCACACTCTAAAAAAATGAGCGGGTATCGCGGTTGCGGCACAGTCAGCAATGAAATGCCAGAAGCAGCAACAGATGACTTTAATGTCATCATGGATGAAAAGAAAGAAAGAAAGGAGATGTGAGTTGGTTGATTCAGTAAATTAGCTCATGCCAGGATAATCATAATTTCTGTCTACACCTGTTAATGTTAGCCTACGTTGACTGAGCTAACGTTAACATACACTGTTGCTAGGTAACAGACTGTTGTTAGCTAAATATTTAATGTAGAATAGTGGTTCCCAAACTTGAGTACGCGAACAAAATGCTGAGTTTTGCGGTGTTTCGTGAACGAATTGTCCGCGAAAGTCATTGATTCAATGATTCATTTATAAATACAGCCACTTGCTTAGTTGCTGAATGAACAAATGACTCGATGACTCACGCATTAAGACAGTGACTTACCGCCACCTACTGGCGGTTTTAATATTTAAAGGAATTAATTTTTACTTTTTTATCATCATTGCATATTAATCTATTGAACTTTTTTTTTTAAACATTAATATTCTATTTATAAAGATAAAAAATGCATTGGAAAGTCAATTTAGTAAAATGATTCTCTCAAGTCTTGGCGATCGACCCCTATTAAACAATAAAGAAAGTAGGACATCTTTTTCTTATACATAGTTGATCAGAATTAATCATTAATCAACTTAATTATTTCCTGGATTTTGTATCACCATAGTCCCTAAATGAATGTACATGCAGGAAATGGGATTCAAATCGAAGAATTTCCCCCCATTTTGTGTCTGTGTGTGTGTGTATATATATATACAAGGGTGTTTATATATTTTATATATATAATCAGGTGAATCTTATATAATCATCTCGTATATTCATTATGAATCTTTAGAATATAAATGTGCATAACAGGATTTATTTTTGCCTAATAAATTACATCCCAACATCTTAGATTAATTAATTAATGTTTTAGTCATGTAGTTAAATTAAAATTAAGTTGTATTTTTAATCAGTGGATACTTTATTTGAATTATCGGAACCATCTTAAAAAAAAATTCTACCCATTTTTATTGAGTAGTTTTCTTCACCCAAAGTTCTTGTTCCAAAGTTCACTTCCATATTTAAATTACTTAATAATGCATTGACAAACTTTAGAGAATGAATGTGATTATATTAAGTGATGCATCCAAAGACTGTGTTTTGAATGTTTGCTTGGTATCACTTTTCATTCTGTCAGCGTTACACATTTTATGTACCAAAAAAAAAAAAACTATAAATAACAAGTTACTTACGTATTAACATAAACAAGCACACTGTAACCTGTTTTAAAATGACCATTTCGTTTTACCCTCATCAAACATGACTGCACCGTCTCAGGAAGGAGCGCTGGTATAAGGCAAGGAGAGAAAGAGGGAAAAGGGGGCAGAAGGAAAAAGAGGGGAGGTAGTGTGTCTGCTCTCCGAAAGGGAGGAGTCAGGAACAGGGAAGGGGCATCTGGAGCTCCACACTTCAAATCTTCTATAGCCGAGAAACTCTTCATTACTGTCTTTACCGTGATAAAAATGTAGGAGTTTCACGAGTCGCTGTTTTTTTGTGTTCAGGCTTTAGGTATGTAGGCAAAGACCGGGCGCTAGTTCAGTGCTGGGCTATCCCTGCCAAGCGCACGTAGGACAAAAAGAGAAGACGAGGGAAGAAAGAAAAGTCCGCAGGGTAGTTTTGGAGTTTAAAGTAAAGAAGCTAAGAGTCTCTGTCTGCAACTAGCATCTGTACACGAGCGAGAAGAAAGTCTGTGAGGAGAGGACAGAAAAGTTTCGCAACTGAACGAGTAAGTGCAAGAAATGTGCAGTTTTTCCGAGCCTCTTTGGTTCCACGAAAGTTTTGAAAAAACAGAAAAAGAGGGGGGAAGAGTCGTGTAAAACGTGAAATGCGATACTACTGCCTGTCTGTTGCAAAAAATATTACATGAAGTCAACAGGACAAACGCATTAAAATAGCGTTTATTGGCAGCGTTGGACTGAGCTTTCTGCTTCACAGAAAGTTCAAGCAGAGCTATTTTGCAAACTTTGGGCTCTTATTGTCAAACTCGCGGCCCCAATTAGTCTGTTAAAATCTTTTGAAAGTGTCCCAATGTTTTATGCTTGTTAAACTGATAATTATATGTAAATAAAAAGACCCATCACAATGCAGCGGTGTTCAGAGCTGTGTCTCCTTGCGACAGTTTAAATATTTCCAAATATGTTTTTCTTGAAAATAGTCCAGCAGTAAAATTGGGGGTCCCTCATCATATTGCAGTGCTTTTCCTCAGCATAATTTCAAGATCTTTAAGAAATCTATTAAGTCTTACACATAGAAATTAAAACGACTGGATGTTTGTCATATATTTTTCTTCCCCCCCCCCCCTTTTTTTTGGGGGGGGGGGCAAAATACGAAGTTTGATTAAAACTAATAGAACAGACGCCGCAAACATTTCAAAACAATTATGTGCGATAGTAATAGGAAAAATGTTTTTTCTATTTAGGTAGAGTAAGTGTACTTATAATGATCAAAGTTAGAGCCTGCAGTGATACTGTTAATTCATTGCACTTTTTCCACACATTTTGAATTCAATCACTGCTTAAGAAAACTATTAACATCGAGTAGAAATGATTGTGACAATTTAATAGATGGAAACAAACATGTTATGATAATGATGGAAACATTTTAACAGTGTAATTATTACCAATTTGTCCGTTGCCGTCTCTCCAGGAGGGAAAACTAATAGCCTAAGTGAAATAATTGCATCTGACTCTTCTTTTATTATTGGAAATGAACGTCATTTACATTTGAATGTGGTGTGAAAATTGTGTCACAGCACTTGTGTAGATAAGCTGTTTGGTTTAAACTTTTCCAAACTTTTAACACACCGAAGCCCAGAAAAGACTCAACCTCAGAACAACCGTGTCCCGCCAAACCTCTCCTGACACCTGCGTGCGAATTGACGGCATACAATGTCATATTTAAATTAAAATTCACATTTCAATTAAATGTTTTTAAATTAAGTGTTTTTATTTATTTATTTTAGGTTTTGTACAGCTGCTTTACCTGCTTTGTAACACATTTTAGTTGTAATTTATTATAATAAGACGCATTCATTATAAGATCAATAAAAGTAAACGGGGCCTCCTCGTTCTGCCTATAATATTGTATGTTTGAGGTTTGCTTTCCTTTTATTTTGTCTTTTTATTTATTGCATTTGCTTTTTGCATGCATTTTACGAGAATCGTTTCCCAGTGAATTGTCTATATTGAAATCTGTATTATAGCTACGAACGCATGGCTTTATTCAGCGCACATTAAATGCTAAATGTCAGGTGTGTGCAATTTTCCCATACAATTAAATGGAATTAATAATTTGTTATATTCTTTGTAATATGTCGGTTTTTATCCTGTGACCTATTAATCTGCATGCTGTGTCAACACATGATAAAAGGAACATATGACTTTTAATCTCTAAAATTTAACGGCCATAACAGAGATTTATGAATTTTTTTCTGCCTTTAGTTAATGTTGTTATTAAATAAACATTCATTTGAACTGTTAAATTTGAGCTTTGTGATGATAAGGTGTTCTCTGATAAGATAGTGTTCTCAGTGTGATTAGAAACAATTTCCACAGCATGAGTTTTTGAGTCTGTGTTTATCTCTTGTTTCTATCTTGCCTTTTGGGAACAAATTTGTACATTGTTGGTTTTGCTTTAAAAAGGAAATAAATTGTTTAAAACAAGTGATATAGATGCTCTAAATTGAGCTTGGCAAGTAACCTGAATTTAAATGCTTATTTAAATTCATTTAAATTCGTTTGTTCAGCATGCAGCACAGACTTTATCAAATTTGTATTATGTTTATAACATCATCAAAAAAATTATTCCATAAATGTGTTGAATGAAAACTCATTTGCAATGCTTTGATCAAACAGGTGTAATTTTGTGAAAACACTTGCTGCATCATGAAATATCCACTGCCACCATTACAAGTTCATATCAATACATTCAGTTCAGAGTCACTCACCAAACAGGAGTTTATCACACTTCGTATATGCATGGCTGCATTGCAGAACAGAAGTTTAGCAGGTCACTTTTGCCAGCCTCCCCTTTTCTCTCCCACCATACTGAGCACACTGTCACCAGCTAATATTAACAAGTAGAAATGACATACGATTATCCTCAATGTCATCCCACCCCCTCCTTCCACCCACCGTATGTGCATAAAACCCTCAGATTAGGCCTGCCATTGGAAAGGAATGCCCGTACCCTTCTCCCTCAGGGTGCTTTAGCATCCTAAAGAAGTTGTACCTGCTCTTTTTAAGTGCATGTGGGAATGAGATGCTAATGTGGGTTTGAATAGCGCTGTGCGTAATGTCCAAACCAATAAATAACAAATGGATGAGAAATTTGTGTGTCTCTGCACGGCGATAGCAGGTTGTGATCCTGGAAGTCCTCTCGGGAGCTTTTTATCATGTGGTGGTCAAGAATGTTTTGTGAGTCTGATGTCTCAGAAGCAGGGTTAGGCCAATTTGTTTTTAGAGTAGAGTGATTTGTTATGATAAATCTGTAGTGCATGAAGGTGACTACTTGGCTTTTTGCACATACGGCATTTAATCAAGAATCAGACTCCCAGATCTGTTGTCAGACTGTTGTTTTATTTATTTAATTATTAAAAAAAAAAAAATTCCAATGCATTTTGCCATGTTTAGCATTTTTGACCCTAACAAGCAGCCCCTGATTGAAAATTGCCCAGAAACCTTTATTGTGTGGCGCTCTGCTTCCACTCATTCCTGTCAACAAGTCATGCAGGACTTCCAACTGAAACCACTTACTTTGATAATCCTCAACTTTGATATGTTCGACATCAAATGAAAAGGACACAAAGAGTGAGAAAGAGGAAAGGGAAATGAGTGAAAGTGAGTAATTGAGAAAAAGAAGCGATGCTCTCGAGCTGTGGGCCACATCAGATGAGAAGTTGAGTGTTTGTCTAAAGTGTTTGCCCATGTTTGTGTCTCAGCAGAGGGGGTCTCTAGCTTTGTAGGGGGGCTTGCTCTCAATCTCTCTCCTTTTCTTCACCCCCTTCTAATCCCTAGGCCCAGTCATCCCTTCAGGGCATGCCTCAGATCTACCTCTATGTTAAAACGACCCCTTCCTTCTCTTCTTTTTGTTGCCCTTTCTGTCTTTCCTTTTGCTTTATCTCCTTTCACATTTTATCTTCACCCTTTTCTTTTTTTCTTTCTTTATATACAGTGGCCCCAAACAATATATGTTTGGACACTTATGCCACACTTGGATGAAGAACATGTGTGGATTTTATTGTATAATATACAAAATATCACACCAGGATTTTCTCAGAAGTAACTTTAAATTTCAGAGCCATTTTTGTAATTATTTTTGCTATTAATTTTGACTTGTGTTTGTCCCTTCCATTGGTTGTACTACACAGTCGTAACTTGTGAGTAAACCAGTTCATTCACATACAGCCTGCAGGCAGTCACAGGAAATGAGCAAGTTTGTACCAAAGTTTGAGAGTGACAGTTTGTTTACACTGGTGGGGCTGGCTGCTGGAAACTCAAAATTGACCTGACAATTAGTTTGGCCATTTACCTTTTTTTAAGAGAAGCATTAGAATAAAAAAAAAAAAGTTTTCAAGAAATTACAGACAAGACATTAACTTCATAAAATGTAATAACAGTCCTCTAACTTCAAACCAGTATGTCTGCTAACCAGCGTAAACCAATATGAACTACCACGGAAATTCATGATGGTCTTTTCAGACAGGGAGCTATACTCACATTGATGTATGTGTCATTGTTAGCGCTGATGTTTTTTTTCTCAAGTAGGTGGCTGCAAATAGCACACATTGTGTGTTGGCAAGAGCTACTAGGTTTTCCCCTTCTATTTGCTGTTCTGGTTGTAAAAACCGTCTGTAAACCTGTGTGAAGTGTGGCAACAAGAGAATTAAGTACTTCCCAGTTTGGTTGCAAGGTGTGTTAAGGACTTGTGACAGAGTGGTTGTGTGTGAATGAGTGTATGTTGGTTTTGATGAAAGGTATTTCGAACAAATATAAAAACACTGCAAGGGAATAGCTGAATATCACGCAGAATATCCATATGTAAAAAGTGTCAGGGCATGTGTTCTCTTTAAATCACCATGTGTAACTCCTCTCCTGGTTGCCTGTTCTTCCCCATGTTTTTTGCACTCTTCTCTGTCCCTTCTGTGTGCTTTAATAGTAAATGTCAAAGCCCTTGCCTCCCCAGTCCTTGAGATAAATAATGTCCCTATTTACAAAAACAAAAGAGGAGACTTAACTATATGAGCAAATTTCAGGCATGCCTGAAAGACTACCCCATTGTCATCACAGCATCTAAAGACTAATCGCTTTTTCTCATGCAAAGTGTGCTGGTTTTAAGGGCCGGGGTATAGACGAGCGCTCCGCTATTGGAGGGGTCCCTCTCCCGCTGAACAAAGACCAGCTCCTTCCAAACAAAGATAAAGGGAGGGGGTGGAGGTAAAAGTTTTACAGATTAGTTCCCTCAAGGAGATTTTGGAGTGGAGGGGCGGAGAAGGGAGTATTTGGAGTCCTCTGTTGTTTATAAAGATTTTTTAAGGATTTCTTTTACAATTACCTTGAATGTGGCTCAACCAGTCAGACTTTAGAGTTGATATTATTCATTTTTTAATAGTACTTTTGTTTTGAATATTATTATGAATAATTTGTGTTTGTGTCCTTCAAATGAAAATAATCAAGTAGTTTTTTTTATTGGCTGAAATCTATCTATTTATCAGCATATATTTGTTTA